AAGAATTAATTTTTGTAATTATTTATTTTTAGGAGAAGGACCGCGTATTAGATCCTTTTATTAGGAATCTTAAGTTAGTGATACCCAGCCGTGTCTTGCCGTATTTAGTAGAGGCTGGATTCGGTTACATAGGTAGATATCAGGGTCACTGTAAGATAGAGCCAGACCTGATTTCTGCCTTAGAAGAGCGGTGGAGGCCGGAGACCCACACATTCCATCTTCCGTGCGGAGAGTACACGATCACGCTTGAGGATGTTTCTATGCACCTGAGGCTTCCGGTGGATGGAGATGTGATATTGGGGATAGCTTCTGGTTCTTGGACTACATTGTGTCGGGATAGTCTAGGACGTGTCCCGGAAAATTTTATCGAAGGTAGGATACCGTTAAATTGGTTAAATGCCAATTTTCGGGAGTTGAGCGCAGACGCCTCTGAGGATGAGGTTAAGATGTATGCACGGGCATGCATATTGCAGCTGATAGGAGGGTTGCTGATGCCGGACAAATCGCGCAACCTAGTTCACTGCATGTGGTTGCGACATCTTAGCGACTTTCGTCTCGCCGGATCATTCAGTTGGGGCTCGGCAGTTTTGGCTTTGTTGTAAAGGGAGATGTGTGGAGCCACTGACTACAGGCGTAATGCTATCGGTGGATGTCTCATGCTGCTGCAGTCTTGGGCATGGTATTGATTGCCCTTTTTATGTTCCGTTGTGAAGAACCCATTCGTATTTCCACTACTTCTCAGGTAATTATAAAACCGATTTTGTATATTAATAATTTTAAACAGCGTATAACAATTTTTTTTCCTTGAATAGGTGGTCTACTGATAGAAAAAATCATCAGGAGCTACCTGATGATTTAGAAAATTTAGGGTGCTAATCGATCAGAAGGCTGGCACACAGGTATGAATTTTAATGTTTAAAAATCGATTTTAGATTATAGTTATATAATTAGATTATTATTTTGATAAAAAGTATATATTATTTGTTTTAGTTTGAATGTATGCCATATTCTACTGATGATGTGAGGGTGGTGATCCTACCTGAGTTGAGGGGTCCATCAGATGTTTGGATGGCGATGGTCCCTCTAATCTATTATGCGACCGTCGAGTGGCACTCCACTGATCGCGTGCTCCGGCAGTTTGGTTAACCCCTCCAGCACAACATGTGTGAGGACCGTTGTATACTGTTAGTTCCCATATGTTGTTTTTCCTCTTCATTTTCGATACGCGAACCATCTAATTGCATCCGTTTTCGCGTCAGGCACAGTAGCATACATATTTTTTGGTCATCGATCGGTTGACTCTGGACTGAACAGAATTACGGATATTGTAATTTTTGATAGCCACCATCGCTTCTTCTTTGCTTGAAAACTCCATGCCTAAAGATAACTCACCATTATTTATTGAAGAGTAATATTCATAATCACCGAGATGAGGCATATCCGCAAATTCTGGCCCGTACATTGCACCATAATCAGCTTCATACATGTGTGTATGAGGGTCAGTTTGTGCCACTTTTCCTGGAACTTCATCATCATCGGAGTTGAATTGCGGTGATTCTGGGTGAATGAATAGTCCAGTCTCAGCACCATCCGCACCAGGCTCACGAAGCGGTTCTTCTGGTGGAGATGATGGTTCCTCCATGCTCTCGACATTTAGGTCGAAGAACCTACTACTTGCACGCCTTCCCCTTGAACCGGAAGGAATATCGACATTGAGGTCGAAAAAGCTCGCAGTCGAATGCCTCCCCTGGAGCTTGAAGCCATCGTGTCAAATGGAAACTGCACAGATGGTTGCGTCGATGGCATCTCCATATGGTCAAAGAAATTTACAGATGAATGCCTTCCCCTTGAACTGGACGCGGTGTTGCCATACGGATTGTTCGTGGACCTACCTCGGTACATATCGTAAGGAGTTGCGGATGAATGTATCCCCATTATGGCATTAAAATCATTATACATTATTGTAGTCGGGATGTCAACTTTATCAACTTGTTCAACCAGCCAATAGTGTGAGCTTAAAGATTGACCCCGAACAGCACGCATTTGAACAAAATATGCATACATCTCAATAGCGGCGTCTGAATAATTACTTTGAGCTTCAACCATCATTTGAACATCATCATTGTTCGAAAGTTCGAACACTGTATAAGTTAATGGCAACAATGATGTTGGAAATCTGTAATGCAACGACGACATTCTTTTGTTACTTCCAACATGAATCTTCCTCGAAATTTTCGTTATTAGCTCCTCAAGAGTTATGTTTCTCTTGAATGATATTTTAACACGCTCATTTGATACGAAAACAACGTCGGTTTCATCTTCTCGAAATTCACCATCATAATAAATAATAGTTGAAAGTCGAGCCATTCTTTGAGTTTAAAAGTGCGGCAATATTATATCTGCAAAAAAATAACTTAAACAAACCTGATTAAATAAATTATATATGAACGAAAATATAACACAATAAATTTTTTGCACATCAACGTAAATAATTTAAATAATATAATTTTATATTATTACCTGCACCGTAAAACTATTTCGATGTATGCTCTCGCTTTTTAATTTTACAAACATAAAAATTAATTAAAAATAATTAGTATAATATTTTTTCAAATAATGATAATAAACAATAAGTATAATTAAAAAATTATAACAAAATTACCTTATAACGAAAAATCGCACAAACTTCTAAATCAAATTTGAGAAGATTGCGAGAATTATTACTCGTTGACGGAATTGTTGTATTAATTTATAAGAGATGAGAGATGCGAGGAGATGTGAGCCGGAGGAGTGTATTTATAAGCATATAAGGCGCGGTACCTGCACCGCGCTATATGTAATTATTCAGATAAAAGATATAGCGTGGATCAGAGACCGCGTTAAATATAATTTTGATACGGAGTATAGCGCGGATCAGGGGGCGTGCTATACCCACGTGACGCCAGATCACCGTATATCGCGGGGCAGGGGCGCACTATACCCACGTGGTGCCAAATCAGCATATAGCGCGGTGCAGGGGGCACGCTTTCCTACTAAGGGTGTTAGATCGGGAAATATAGTCTGACCGGTGTTAGATCAATAATAATACCGATCACCAGTGATATACCGGGAAAATAGCCTATTATTTAATCATTATTTTAACATTTGTTAGGGTTAAGACAATTAAAATAGAATATTAAACATTATATTACTCGAAAAAAATTAAACACCTCATAAAAAATGTATAACTTGAACATTTTTTATATTAAGTATAAAATTTATAGTTATATACTAACATAAAGCTGGTGTGGTGGAATGTTAAAGAAAAGATAAAGTCTACAAATGATCCCTTCGACTATTTAGTGATATTTTATTGAATCATTCGATTATTAAAAGTTATAAATGATCTTCCGATTATAGAGTATTATTTTATTGAGTCCCTCTATTATTAAAAGTTATAAAATGATCACTTGACTATTCATTATGTTCCAAACTTGTATTTTTGCATTAAAAAATTGACAATAATCTGATCTAAAAGTTAACCTGTTGACTGTGATATGATAAAATTCGATTATGGAATCTTAAACGACTATCAAATTTCAGTTATCATGTTAACGCCCAACTCAGACGACAATTAATTTTTAACATAAAAGGGCGAGTTTAGAACATAATGAATATTCGAGTGACCATTTTGTTAATTTTAGTAGTTGAATGACTCAACAAAGTAATACTTTATAGTTGAAGGGTCATTTTGTAATTTTTAATAGTCAAAATACTTAATAAAATAATGTCATATAGTCGAGATCACTTGTACTTTACCCTAAAAATTCTTCATATTTTTTCCTCAGCCCACATCGCGCGAAGCCACGAATCACGCACCTTCCCCTTGCACTAGAGGTGTGTATACGGGCTACCAGTCCGTTTAGCCCGCGGGTTTTGACGGTGCGGGTTTTGACGGAGCGATTTAAAAAGCTCGTATGCATAAACGGTTTTGAATTCTAAGGCCCGTGGCCCGTCCATTTAACTCGCGGGTTAAACAGGCTTACCTGCGGCCCGTTTAAAAAAATTAAATGCTTTAAATGCAATAAAAATAATGTTCTAACTTGCTACACCTTTAAAAATGATCTAGTAACTTGACAGGAAGGTAGCACAGTCAAAAAAATAAATAATATTTAAATTTTATTTTATAAAATAATATTTTTTTATATTTTTTTAATCATTAATATATATATATATAATGATATAATTACTTAAACTCAAATTAAAAAAAACAATATTCACTTATATCACCATATTGAAAAACAAATAAAACAATAACCACACTATACTTTTATAAAACACAATTATTTAATGCTATAATATGAAGACACAAAAGTGTCTGCAAGCAGAAATTCAAACAGAAAAATTCAATAAAATATTTTTCAATTTTTCTTTTAGTTTTCTTTCTTATTTTTAATCCAAATATTACGTGTCATGTGATATATTATTAAAATATCACGTGACTTTTTATAATTAAAGAACGAAATGGATAACATACTTAATGAAAAAAATAAAAGTCAAAATTAAATAAAAAATCTTTAAATACCAAAATGATAATGATGTAAATTTTATAAGACTAAAAGACTATATAAATATTTTAATTTTAATTTTTTAAAATGAAGAATAATTTGATATGTTGTAAATGAAAAAAATAAATATTAAGCAGCAGTAGAATGATTACAAATGCTCTAATAAATTTAAGAACTACAATGGTTACAAGTAATATCATATTTATAGGTAATTTATTTTATTTTTCTATAAATTTTTTTAAATTTATTTTCTCTCAAATTTTATAAATTTTAAATTAAGCGGATTTTTATGGGCTTCACGGACTACCTGTGGTTATACCTATTAAACCCGCGAGTTTAACGGTCCGGATTAAAAAACCTGCAATTTAAACAAACTTCAATATTTTGTGTTTAAAACCCGCACGAATCGCGATTTAAACGGATAACCCGCGGGCCTTAACCCATATACCCACCTCTACCTTGCACGTCTCCCCTCCGAGGAGCCAATTTCAAAACCCGATTGTCGTTTCCGCCAAGTTAAATCTAAACCTTCTAAAAGCTCGCTTCAGAAGAACGCAAAAATATAAAAATAAAGAACAATGGTTGGGGAAAATCTTAAATCGGAGACACTGAAGCTCATGGATAAAAGGAGTGGAGTAGAGGCTGAAATGAACGCCATAATTGAGCAGCTTTCTCAACCTGGGGGTCCTGGTCTCTCCGGCAACCTCGTCGATTCCGAAGTATTTTCCTCTTCTTCTTCTTGAATACCCATATACATTTACTTACTACTTTAATTTCGTTATTAGGATTAAAAAATTCACTCTTTTCTATTTCCTGATATTAGGGTTTTTGTACTTTCCAGGGGTTTCCTCGTGCTGATATTGACATCCCATGTGTCCTAGCACAACGACATCGTCTTGCTGGTATCCTCTATTTTAGTATTTTTCACTTATTATAATAATAGAGTTAGTGAAGTTGAGGAAGGTCTGTATTAAGTATTAACAAAGTTAACAAATTTTGTTGCTTTATTTGAGCAGAATTGAAAAACGATCATGGGGAAATTACAGAGAAAATAAACGTTAATATTCAACTTTTGCATTCTGCAAAACTTACTTCAACCCCTAAAGGTTCAGGTTAGGCTCAATTCCTTGCACAATTTGTTTAGATAAATGATTTCGTGCTATATTCTTTCAATTAACTCATGTTTTCCAAAAAAGTAAGCCATACCAATTAACCAATCTGATAGGTGTTGAAATGAATCAAATTGCATCAGTTGCCAGTTCTGGTGCATTGGCGGCCTTGCAAAACATTACTTTGAGAGATTCACGGGGTGCCAATGATATGGATTTGATTTCTGGTATGCCCTTTGCAATTGTTGATGAAATAGCTGATGCATCTCCGGCAGCTGAAGATGGTTTACAACTTGGAGACCAGATTGTTAAATTTGGTAATGTGAAAGCTGGTGATAATTTGCTACAACAACTTGCTTCTGAAGCTCAGGTTAATCAGGGTCTTCCCTTACCTGTCACAGTCATGAGACAAGGAGCATTGTTTAATCTGTCAGTGACTCCTAGAACATGGCAAGGCAGGGGCTTGCTAGGGTATGCCACTTCTTCTTGATCTGATTATCTGTACTAGTAGTAAATTACAGATCATATCAGTTTATCAATACCTTCATTTTAGGTTGTTGCTGAAGAAACAACTTATAGTAGTGGAAGTGGAAAAATAAATAAATAAATAAATAAATGACTACTCAATTCCAAGGGGTTGACGTCTGAAATTAATGATTTGGGTCATTAACAGTAATAATATACACTAAAGCAATCAGTTAGGAGAGATAAGTGTGATTTGTAGATTATTGCTGCAATGAATGTAGAAGTTTTTTCTTAACGTGTATGAACTGCAAAGATAAACTTCTTAGAGCTGTCTGCTTATTTATTCACTTTTGAATATTTACTAATTTGTGGGTGATTTTGAACTATTGCAGATGTCATTTTCGTATCATGTGATTTTTTGCTTCATCAATGGAACAGAATAAAGCAATCTGGCTGCCTTCATTTTACCTGTTTTAAGACAGTACTCAGATCTCAGATAGGGATATTAACATTGACCTTTTCTGTCTAAATAGATTCTCGAGGATATATAAAATATTTTGCTTTTGAATGAATCCAATGTTTTTGTTGCATTGTTGAGATGTTCCTGTTACTTTTATTATAGTTTTTGAGGTAGATCCTTTAATATTCTCTCTCTAAGTTGTGAGATAAGGGAAGTTATTGCTCTGTTGTTATTGTGTCACTTGGCTTGTATTGAGTCTAAGCTATGAAAGATAAGAGTTGATTTCTGGTGAGAGTTCCAGTGGGTTTTAGGAGGAACCACCACTAAACCAAATATAAAGGGCTGATGTTTCAGTTAAGTGATTACTCGAGTTCTTAGGATAGGAACTTGGAAGCCAGTAATAAAGTAACAAGGCAAACATAGCCCATCACAGATAGTTTTTTCAACTTGAAATTGAGATTGTCTTTCTCCCTTTTGACCCCCATTTTTCCCGAGTTGATTACTAGCAAGAAAGGAACTAACCTTGCTTTTGCTTTTAAGTTTTATATCTAAACCTTCCTTTTTTGTCTTCAGCTTTGATCCTTCACTTTTCTTCAGTTGTACAATGTAAAGTGCAGTTGAGAATCGAATATGACAAAAACAATCCCTTTCCCACAACCTACCCCATGTAAATTTTGCTATACTTTAAATCTAATAGAAAGTGTTTGGTAAGGGAATTTGATTCCATTCTTAGCGCATGTTTCTTTGTTGATATCAACACCAAAGTTGAACATATTAATAAAAGGGAAGATTACTCACCCAATGCTAATTGTTTTCCTTTCTTTCTTAGATGAAATTTTGTCATTTGGGCAATTGCACTGGTCAAAAGTCATCCCCCTTCAAGCATTAAAACTCGATTTTGGCATAGGTTAATAGCATACTTATCATGGAAATGGTGGACCCAAAAGATTTTAATTCATTTCTATAGAATTAGTTCACAGTTAACAACCACTGTATTTCATTGCTAACATGGGATGAAATTTCAACTTTGAAAGTAAAATTAAGCAAAAGCCAAAGTCAATTTGCATTTGGGTTAAGCCATTTTCACGAACGCTTGCAAGCGGTGAACCCTATCCCTTTTCCACTTTGGTTTCCTTCATCACCATTCCGTCTTCGGCATCATATTCCCTCACCGGCGTCGTACTCCGTCATCAGCAGCCTACTCCATCATCGGCGCGCTCTACTCGTCTTCCGCACAACATCACGACATCATCTTCGTCTCGGTTCCTACCATGTCTCAGTCACAAGTATTTTCTTTAATCACAAGTATTTTTTTAGTGTTTCTGTTTGTGCTTGATTGAGTTTCTGCTAATAATGTTTATTTGTTTGGCGTTCCTATTTCCACTTTTCCGTTCCTGTTCGTTTTATTTTTTTTTTATTTTTTTTCAATCATAAAATTAGGTTGTTGTTTTCTTCGTAAAATACTATTGGGTTATTGCTTTCTTCGTAAATACTATTGGGTTGTTGCAGCAAATAATCTTTTCGGTGGTTGATTGGTCTTATGTGAAGAGTCTTGTGTCATTTAACTTATATATGTTATGACTTGTGATATTTTTATACCTTTTAATATTGTGAACTTAAAAAGAGTGTTATATATATATATATATATATATATATATATTGCTTTGAATATTATGTAAAATTTAAAAAAAAAATATTATTTTATATAAATCGGTTCAACCGTGATTTAACTACGGTTGAACCAGTGAACCAATACCTTTACCGATTTAAAGTCCGGTCCGATTTTAAAAACATTGTCATTTACAGTTTACCTTCTAATTTGTTTCCTTCTCATCGAGCTGCTAAACTTGGAACAAATACCATTATCATGGGCACGCTGTATATGTAATCATAGTCATTAATGGTCCCCCGAGTAGAGTTGTATAATGTAATCTTTGAGCAAACATTAAAATATGTGTAATTCTCTTATCCGATGTTTATCTGGTACACCAAACCTTCATTAATGTATATATATATAACCGGTCACAATCAAATGAAATACAGCAAGCAAATCTTCGCTTTTCTTTCTCCTCCACTCAATGGTTCTTTACTTCTCTGTCGATACTATAAATATACTAGCTCCACTTCTCATAGATTGAGCACCATTTTTTCTTTTTTTTAAGTATCCAGGAAAATAAAGAGGATTCTTAAGTATGGAGTTGCCTACAATTGTGTTGGCTTTTCATTTTCCTTTAGATAATCTCCGGAACGACACAGTTAAACTTTCACAATGCAGAATAGAATCTCTGTTTTCAGGAACGGACCAGGTCACCGGGATTTCACGTGGAACTTGAACTTATAAAATTCAATGATCAAAAACAGATTTTTAATAGAAAAAAAAATTAAAATATATAATAATTTTAAATTTTTAGCGGACTGGCTTGAAGCCAATTTGATTGATTTAAAATTTTCAATGAATATAAGACTTGGTCCCATTATTTTCTTCTTCTTTTCTTTCAAAGTTTAAAGTCTGAGCCTTTAGCTTCTAATTCTTAAAAAGTGATCTCGTTTTTGTTTAACTTTGGTTTTTGGGTATTGGTTTCTAATGCTGAATTTTGAGGACTTTGCATAACTTTTGAGTTTTATGGATTTTTGCAAGGTATGTTTCGGATGGTAATTAGAGGTTGCTGTGTGGGTTTTTGTGGATTTAAGTGAAGCTCAGAGTGCTAGAATTGTAAATTTGAGGAAGCTTTGTGTGTGAAAAGCTGAGATCTATTTTAGGAGCTTTAAAGGGATGAATATATGTACTGTTAGTTCTTTATACTATAGATGTGCAATTGTTGGCGTCGAAGATTTATGAAGTTGTCTACCTTTTTCTAATATACGAAGAATGTGATTGTTGTACTGGATTTTGTTAGGAGTTGTGATAATTTTATTTTAGGAGTTGGATAGGCAATGTTGAGGATTGGAGTGAACTAAAAGAGCTGATAAGGTGGGAATTAGGATTTGTTTGAATTTAATAAAGAAGAAGCTGAGATCCCTTGATAATTAGTGTTGAATTGATAGATTTCTTGATCAATGTCTGGTGCTCCATGATTGAGATCGAGAAATGTGGCCAACTCAGAGGCAAGGCCTGTACTGGGACCTGCGGGAAACAAGGCAGGTTCGTTAAGTTCAAGAAAACCAGCTTCGAAGCCTTTGAAAAAGGTTGAAAAGTCTCCAGTTGGGGTGACTGTAGTAGTGGAGAAAAAATCCCTTTCATCATCTACTGTTAATTCTATTTCTCCAAAAATTCATTCTGTTAGTGCTCCTTCAGTGCAGTTTTTACATTATAATTTATGTTGCTTTCCTCCTAAGACTCCCAATTGCATATGGGAATTGGGTTCTGTTGTTGTTGTTGTCCTCCTAAGACTGCTCTCGATTGTTTGTATTTTTGGTTGTTGGCATCAGATCCAGTTTATGTTGATTTCCATGATGAAGGGTGGGGAGTTCCTGTACATGATGATAAGTAAGTGATCTCAATATTTCCGTGTCTCCCACCTGGTTGCTTGTTAAAAGGGCTGTATCTCTGGTAATAAAATTCCGTTTGATAAGTAGTTTGTTTGATATTATTTTCCACATGCAGGGAATTGTTTGAGCTGCTTGTACTTTCGGGTGCATTGTCTTGAACTTACATGGTCTTCTATCTTAAGTAAAATGCATATATTTAGGTATTGTTCCCTTAATTTCCATCAACTTCGTTTAATAAGCAGTCTCGTTTCTAAAGTGTGTCTTTTATTCAGAGAAGTTTTTATGGATTTTGATCCTCTTGCTGTATCAAAATTGAATGAGAAGATGTTAATCACACATGGTAGCGTGGCAAGTTCTTTGTTATCGGAATTGAAGCTGCAAGTGCACGACAAATATCTAAGGTAGATTCTCTCTTTCTTCTTTTCACCATTCTTTTTACCTTGGTTACCTTGAAAGGCAGTGCTCTGTGAATCACTTGTAAACAGAATAAACTACATTCAGTGCTGTACTTGTGGTCTGGGTTTATTTTTCACGTATATCTCCTGGTGCAAAATTCATCGAATGACCGATACACTCGATAGCAAGGCCACTCACATTATTCTTTCTTGTTCTGGCAAGTAATTAAACAAATAGAAAGGTGCTTAGTGATCACTTATGTGATTAGGATAGCTGAATAGCTGCCCTAAATCTCCGGGCATATGTTTGAATCATATGGGACAAACCACTAGGATACAAATTTGCATTTCGGTGAGGAAACTTAATTATTAACATCAATTAGATGCCAGTTTTCTTAGTTGGTATGTCCCAAGTAATTCATATGTTTATTTACTTTCCAGTGTCCACCTCTAGCTCTTGTTCCCGAAGTTATTAGTTTCCATTATTGCATCTAACCTTTTGTAGGTTTCGATGATGCCAGGTTATCGATGAGTTCAGGTCATTTGACTGGTATATTTGGAGTTTTATGAATCACAAGCCTATAGTTAGCAGATTCAGATATCCTCGCCAGGTTCAGGTTAAAACCCCGAAAGCAGATGTCATAAGCAAAGATCTGGTACGAAGAGGTTTTCGAAGCATAGGGCCTACTGTCATCTACTCTTTCATGCAAGTGGCGGGAATAACAAATGACCATCTCACGAGTTGTTTCAGATTCTAGGAGTGTATACCAGCAGCAGAAACAAAAGAAGAAAATGTAATGGAAGATATGCCTGAAGAGAAAAAAAAAACAATAATGTGATCTAAATGGAATTATCCATAGATTGTTTGAGTTTCTCCTCAGAATGATGTTGGCTGGCGACAGATGGTGCTCCAGTTTCGATCATTGTTTTGCCGCATTGACTGATTCAATATACACTCTTGGGTAACAATGAAAGGTGGTTTTACGTATAAAGTTTAGTTGAATCCTTATGGATTTTTAATATGCTAGAGAGAATGCTGAAATAAAAATGCAGACAAATAATGCAAAAGAAGCAAAAGAGAAACAGCAACAACACGAAATCAATTGACATGAACATATAATTTCCTTAGATGTCGTAAAGAAGCTGCCCAAATTTTTTCATGTGAGAAGTGTCCAGGCATGACACAACAGACAGGCTCCCATCGTTACTCGGACTTGGTAAAACATGTCTTCCCGTTTTGGGACACTTCAGCTGGTCTTAACCATATGGGATGACCTCATCCAAAATCAGCATCATAGAGAGGCAACCACATCCAACTATTGATACTGAGATTCGGGCACTGAAAACCCCATGCTTCTCGAACGGGAGCCTTCACATTAGGCACTTTTTCCATGTAATCAAAATCAGCATCATAGAGAGGCAACCACATCCAACTATTGATACTGAGATTCGGGCACTGAAAACCCCATGCTTCTCGAACAGGAGCCTTCACATTAGGCACTTTTTCCATGTAATCAATAGCTGACCTTAGATATTCATCATCCATTCACTTCAATATGTCCTTGATTCTCTTTGAGGTGTCCGAAAATGATTGATTGGATCTCACCGTGCAATGCTATGGTTGCAGACATAAAGATCGCATTGCCAAGATAGCCTGGTGAGAGAGAAGGTCTCAATCTAGACCGTCCATCGATCGGAATATGCAACTTAGTCGTCTGATCATCAGGGAGGCATCGGGCTATATTTATGCAACGCCATATATGTGCTGATAGGCTGTTGTAGGTGCTATAAACACCACCATCTCTGTTTCTGTTTGCCTTGTCTTTCAAGGTGTTGAGTTGATCACGAATAAGTTTGATGGAGACAGTAGTTTCAGGTTCCCATTGGGGTTCTTCAGCAGTATTCATGGAAAGAGGTGGGTCATGTTCGGCATGGTGAAAAGTCGGAGTCAGTGGAACACGAGCTTGAAGAAGTGACCTGTCGATGTAAGGTTAAACACTAAGAGGCAGACCTCGAGCCATTTCAGCCCAACTGTTAATGAAATGAACCGAAGCCGGACCATCTGCTAAAGTATGCCGTACTCCGATCCAAAGACCAACTCCTCCACACCTGAACCTTGTTACCTAGCAACATTAATACAAACATTAGAAACAATTCAAAATCAATTAATTCCTTACGTATATGTGTGTGTACCTGTGTTAAAATGAGAGGATATGATGAAACATCAGCAGAATAATCAACTTTTGGAACCAATCTCCAAAAGTCTGGACTATAATTCATGGTGTTGCCGACCAAATCGTCGACTACGTACTTAGTTTCAGCCTCTATGAATAAAGCTCCTTTCTCCATTGCAGACTATCTCAATTTTTCCATTTTCGTCCCTCCCTAATCTCCCAGCCATGGGGTAGAATGGGACAAGAACTTTGCTTAAAGCTTCCTTGAGCAGACGAGTGTCGAAGAAATCGGAAGAACCATTTGGTCTGAAGAAGTAAAGAGTAGGGACATGATGCAGTGTCATTAGTAGTTCTAAGTTTGAGCTCCATAACCGATGCTTTGGTGTCTCCTCTGCTGGATACACGATGCTCGACTCCTTGATAGCAATCTCCGTATCTCAGGTCTTTCGCACCTACACATAAAATACATCCAACATTGTAAGAGCTTTTATAAACAGATTGAAGAGTAAATTGGTAAGAGATTTGAAGTTAATTGATTCTTCTACAAACACGCCTCACATGCATATACCTTGAACGAAAAATAAGAATATACCTGTTAAGTTATTATAGGCTTAGAATTCAACTGCTACATATCAGCTGTTTAGTTCTAGAAACCATTGTTTTTTTTCCCTAACATGGCAAGCTCATGGACGACCGACTTGCTAAAGGAGACACTCGAATTTGGCTCATTTTGCAAATGCAAAATGCCCAACTGTCTTTTTTCATTACCTTAAAGGGAAAATATATACATTTAAAAAATTAGTAACAGACGTGTGGTTGTCAAATTACATGTAGACTTTTTATTACAAAACGTGGATGAAGAAAGAAATTGCAACCAATTAAATTTAAGTTTTAATTTTACACATTTTGACTGTATAAACTTTGGAATATTTAATAACATTAAAATCCGAATAATCAAACTTTTCCTTCCCTACGAGTTCCAATCTTTTGATGAAAAAGCAACCCGGAGAATAGCTGGTAAAGATTAAGAAATATACTCTTAAAACATACATTTTTCTTACGCAAGTAAAGGTTGGTTTTTGATGAACTGCAAAAACTAGGGATGAGTTTACTCCCATCGTCTCTACATGCAAACTTCAATCCCAAAAACCAAGCTTTTAATTATTATCCGTACAATCACAACATCCGCCACCGTCAGCTGCAGTCAAAGAGCTGCGTCGGAACGTGGCTTCCTAAGCCTTATCCAATCTTGCAACTCCTTCTCAAACCTCCTCCAAATCCAAACACAAATCATCAAACTGGGTTTTGAAAACAACCCTTTAATTCTCACTAAATTTGCATCCAAATCCTCTGACCTCAACTCCATTGAATACGCTCATCGTTTCCTCTTTTCACCCCATTCGAACACCCATTTCTACGATGCTTTCCTTTTCAACACTATTATCAAAGCTTATGCTCAAACTGGGAACTTAAAACCCAAAGCTTTATTGGTTTTCAATTTCATGCTTGAATGCGGAGTTTTGCCTAATAATTTCACGTATCCTGTTGTTTTAAAGGCTTGTGCTGCCATTGGGGACTTGAATTTAGGCATGTCCGTTCACGGGTCGTTGTTAAAATTTGGTTTTGACGGGAATGATCCTGTTTTAAACACTCTGGTTCACATGTACTGTGGTTGCAAAGGAGGGATCGTGTTTGGTCGCAAAGTGTTCGATGAAATGACGAAAAATGACTCTGTTCCTTGGAGCGCAATGGTTGGTGGGTATGTCCGATTGGGGCGATCGAATGATGCAGTTGACTTGTTTAGGCAGATGCAGATGCGAGGCGTGTGCCCTGATGAGATTACAATGGTTGCAGTTTTGTGTGCTTGTACTGATTTAGGTGCACTTGAACTCGGGAAGTGGGTTGAGTCTCTTATTGAGAGGGAAAAAGTTAATAAGTCCTTGCAGCTCAATAATGCGCTTATTGATATGTTTGCCAAGTGTGGTGATGTTGATAAAGCTTTGAAATTGTTTAGGGTCATGAATGAGAGAAGTATTGTTTCCTGGACCTCTGTCATTGTTGGTTTAGCCATGCATGGGCGTGGATTGCAGGCTGCTTCTTTGTTTCAAGAGATGATAAGAGATGGAGTGGCACCAGATGGTGTTGTTTTCATTGGATTGCTCTCTGCTTGTAGTCATTCTGGACTTCTTGAGAAAGGAAAGGAATATTTTAATTTGATGAGGAAGGAGTTTGGTATTTTGCCTAAAATTGAACACTATGGATGCATGGTAGATATGTTATGTAGGGCTGGACTTGTTAGAGAGGCAGTGGAGTTTGTTCAGGATATGCCTATTGAGCCAAACTCTATTATTTGGCGAACACTGATAAATGCTTGCCGTACACATGGTGAACTCAAGCTGGGAGAGAGCCTTGCCAGACAACTAATCCGAAATGAGCCTATGCTTGAGGCCAATTACGTCTTGCTTTCGAATATTTATGCAAAGATGTCTCATTGGGAGAAGAAAACCAAGACTAGGGAAGTGATGGACTCCAAGGGCATGAGGAAGATTCCAGGGAGCACTACCCTCGAGCTAAATAACCAGATCTATAAATTCGTTGCTGGGGATATGTATCATAATCAGTACAAGGAAATATTTGAGATGGTAGATGAGATGGGCAGAGAGATGAAGAGGGCTGGATATGTTCCCTTGACCTCAGATGTTATGCTTGATATCGATGAAGAAGACAAGGAAGATAATTTGAATAGGCATAGTGAAAAGCTGGCCATTGCTTTTGCTCTTACGAATACACCACCAGGGACTCCTATTAGGATTGTGAAAAATCTGCGAGTTTGCAGTGATTGTCATTCCGCTACAAAGTTCATCTCTAAGATATATAATCGAGAAATTATAGCAAGGGATCGGAGTCGGTTTCACCATTTCAAGGATGGTTTATGCTCGTGTAACGATTTCTGGTGACAAAGTAAGAGAAATGACAGCTTTCCAAAGCTACCCGAGAAATAAAATAAAACAGTTCACTGTATCTTTTTTATGCAAACCCTTGCTTGAATATCATGGTTTAGTGACTTATGCATGCAGCTAAAATTTAGGTCATTAGACCTACAAGCCTGCGTCAAATTAACTTCCTAAGTACTTGGTAATGAATGCTAATCAAATTTTATCACAACATAGGTTGATATTTCTAAAGGTGAGAGTTAGGTGATCCCTATTAAAGGCATTGAAGGCTTCAAATGCCGTGACTAGCCCATCATCTGGGCGAGATGTGGGGCGTGAACTTGTCAAAAGCCTTAAAAAGTTAGGCACTAAACCAACTCAGTAACTCAAATGTTGGCTTTTCAACGGAGGGTACGAATAAACATGTGGACTTAAAATCGATATCCAAAACTCCCCTCCGTCCTGTTGGACAAAAACTATCGACAGGGTGCCACTGCCGTAAGCGACATCTGTTCAAATTTTCCCAAAACAGCAAAAAAGCTGAAATCAAGTTCACAATCACACACGTAAACAAGCATTGTTCTCTTTTCTGAACAAGAATCGACTCAACAGCTACAAACAACTACAAGGACTCCATTAGAATCTTCTTCATTTCAAATGTCTTTGTCCCATTCCATTACCTTTATTCTCCATCGGTAACATATGGCATTACTAGTTTCTGCGGTAGGTAAATCGTTTTCATTTACCAACAGTTATGCGGCACAAACTAATATTTTCATTCACAAAAGCGCATCTGGCCCTGGTTTTACCATTTCAAGTTCCATCCGCTCATACGAAAGTATAGAAGTAGACAAGAGCTTATAAAATTACAATATCCAACAAAATGTTGATGATTTTCATTGCTTTGATATTCGACACTGTCGATTCATCTTCTGGGAATGACCCGACTTAAATTCTCTACACAGGGATCAAATTATATAGGAACCAACTAGCAAATCAGCCTGAGAGAGGAACTGCCTAAGTGTAGAAAATGAACCACATTTATCATTATCGGTTAGACACAGTTTAGCATAACTAGATCAAAAATGTCATTGCCGGCTGACCTTTCTTCTGGAACAAGGGGGGCTAAGACAATGGTAAATATGACAAGAGCACATAATAGCACTGTCAAGCACAAAAACAGAGTATTCCAATCCAATTGCAAAAGTCAAAAGTCACAAAGGGATCGACAAAATGACCCGATGTATCTTATTAATTGAGCTGTAAGCTCTGCGAATATCACATTGTCATAAGTAGATGGAAGAAACATAAAGGAAAAATCATGCATTAAAATTCCACAAATGGAAGGAGTACCTACAGTAACATATGTGAACATCCCAAGAAAAGACAGAAAATTTAAATAAAGAACAACAAAGTACAGGGCATTAAGATCCTTCTTCCTCTACTAGCATATATTAACCTGTGAAATTAGCACCGATATGAGAATCACAATTGCCTGGTATTACTAAGAAATGGCCATAATGAGTAACATACGGAATGTAAACCTAAAAACACAACATAACAAAACCCAAATACAGCAGATGTAGTAAAAGAAATGTGATCCTTTTGCCCTTAAATGCAAACCCCCTTACGATCATCATCCAAATCACCCTCCCTTTAGCCCTTATTTGCAACCTCTCTTCCCATATTTTATATCCTAAAACCAATCACCGACGTGATCTAGCTCTGAGATTCACTCTTCTTGTCATTTCCTTCGCTTTCCCTTTCTTCCAACAACCTCCCAGCTTCCTCATCGGCCTGTGCAGTCTTCTTCTGAGCTTCTTTCGCCTTTAAAGCCTGTAACTTGGAATGATTATAGTAAGCGACACCCAAAAACGCTAGCCCATACCCAACCAAGTTGATGGGTGTCACGGTATCCTTAATGACAGACCAAGAGAATGCAATCAACAACCAGTCCTTCACCACCCCAGCTACATTCATGGTCAAAGCAGAAGTCTTCCCGACAAGCAAGAACACAGCTAGATTCAGAGCAAAAGCGCACAAAGAATTGGTCCCGAAAATAAAGAAATCGAAATGGAAACTAGATGTCTCTCTCAAAACCGGGAGCTCAACGAAAATCCATGGTACCAACAAGAAGACGAAACAGCAGGGCGCAACATAATACAGGGAAGTAATCGGGTTCAAGGTGATCCCTTTAGATGTAAGCAAGATTTGGATCATGACCAACCTGGTAGCCTCAAAAGCAACGGCTCCAAGCTGCAGAATCACTCCCCAGGTATCAAATCTAGCTTCACCGTAAGCTGCAATGGCAACCCCAAAAGAGATGGACAACATGTTGACCATTGTGTCAGTCTTAAATCCCTCCTTCTTAAAAAGGACCCCAATGGAATAAACAGCAACAGGCATCAGGGCTTTGAGCATCTGGATAAATGAAACAGACAAGTAAATGTAAGCGGAGTTAGAGAGCCAAAGGCTAAGAGAGTAAAGAGCGCCGATGGGAACAACGGAAGAGAGATAAACTTCTCGAGACATGGAGACAGGCTCGACAACTTTGAAGACTTTGATAAGGAGGAAAGCTAGGGTGGCACAAAAGGACATGTGGATCATGGTTAGGGAGATTGGGAAAGGCCAATTGTACATCTTCTTGTCCAGGATGTACTTGTTGTAGACGATTACGGTGAAGCTGAGAAAGATCCAGATTGCCACATATGAGTAGGAGAGAAGGATCTTTTTAATGACGCCGTCGCTCAAAGACCCGCCCTTGCCCATTGTTTGTTTTGGTTTTCGAGGGATGTCCGGATGGGGAAATGGTGGAGGAGGCGGTAGTGGTGGTGGCCGTGGGGAAGGGCAAGGGGTCAGAGCGGATTGCTGGGAAGGGGTTGATCTTGACTTTTGTGTGTGAGCGATGAACTGAGGAAAGATCCGGTGGGGATGGGATTACATAACCCCTATATATATCCTTCTAAAACTTTTAAGGTTAAATTATATATTTCATCACCCCGCCTATTACTTGGCTATTTTTTCGGTATATCATCGGTGATCGGTATTATTATCGATCTAATATCGATCAGATTATATTTTTTGATCTAATACACTTAGTAGGAAAGTGCGTTCTCTGTACCGCGTTATATACTGATTTGGCGTCACGAGGGTATAGCGCTCCCCCTGCCCCGCGATATACGGTGATCTGGCGCCACGTGAGTATAGCGCGCCCCCTGATCCGCGCTATACTTGGATATCTGACACGTGGGGTATAGCGCGGTGCAGGGGGCGCGCTATACCCCTAATTACCAACCCTTCACGTTCTCATCCTCCCTATAAATACCCCCATCCTTAATTACTTTTATCACACCAAATTCTCTCAAATTCTCTAAATTTCTCTCAAATATTCTCTTTTTAAGGTATATTTTATAATATTTTTACTATTATTTTTTACTTTATTTAATATTTTACTAATATAATTCTTTTGCAGATATATAATGGAAGACAATCTACTTCGCTCGGATGGAAATCATATATCTCTACACTTTGCTGATACGGTAACATTTTAACGTTTTAATTTAATTTAAATTATTAGTAATATTTAGTTGATTTATTTAATGCATGATTATTAGATTAAGAATTAAATATCTCGACACTTTACTGATACGGTAACATTTTAACGTTTTAATTTGATTTAAATTATTAGTAATAATTAGTTGATTTATTTAATGCATGATTATTAGATTAAGAATTAATTTTTGTAATTATTTATTTTTAGGAGAATGACCGTGTATTAGATCATTTTATTAGGAATCTTAAGTTAGTGATACCCAGTCGTGTCTTGCCGTATTTAGTAGAGGCTGGATTCGGTTACATAGGTAGATATCAGGGTCACTGTAACATAGAGCCAGACTTGATTTCTGCCTTAGTAGAGCGGTGGAGGTCGCAGACCCACACATTCCATCTTCCGTGCGGAGAGTGCACGATCACGCTTGAGGATGTTTCTATGCACCTGGGGCTTCCGGTGGATGGAGATGTGATATCGGGGATAGTTTCCGGTTCTTGGACTACTTTGTGTCGGGATAGTCTAGGACGTGTCCCAGAAAATTTTATCGGAGGTAGGATACCGTTAAATTGGTTAGATGCCAATTTTCGGGAGTTAAGCGCAGACGCCTCTGAGGATGAGGTTAAGATGTATGCACGGGCATGCATACTGCAGCTGATATGAGGGTTGCTGATGCCGGACAAATCGCAAAACCTAGTTCACTGCATGTGGTTGCGACATCTTAGCGACTTTCGTCTCGCCAGATCATTCAGTTGGGGCTCGGCAGTTTTGGCTTTACTGTACATGGAGATGTGTGGAGCCACTGACTACAGGCGTAATGTTATCGGCGGATGTCTCCTGCTGCTGTAGTCTTGGGCATGGTATCGATTGCCCTTTTTATGTCCCGTTGTGAAGAACCCATTCGTATTTCCACTACTTCTGAGGTAATTATAAAACTGATTTTGTATATTAATAATTTTATACAGCGTATAACAAATTTTTTTCCTTGAATAGGTGGTCTACTGATAGGAAAAATCATCAGGAGCTACCTGATGATTTAGAAAAAATTAGGGTGCTAATCGATCAGAAGGCTGGCATACAGGTATGAATTTTAATGTTTAAAAATCGATTTTAGATTATAGTTATATAATTAGATTATTATTTTGATAAAAATTATATATTATTTGTTTTAGTTTGAATGGATGTCATATTCTACTGATGATGTGAGGGCGGTGATCCCACCTGAGTTGAGGGGTCCATCAGATGTTTGGATGGCGATGGTCCCTCTGATCTGTTATACGACCGTCGAGTGGTACTCCACTGATCGCGTGCTCCGGCAGTTTGGTTGTTTTCAACCAATTCCGGAAGCACCTCGCAATATGGACGAGTTGCATAGCTTAGATAGACGTGGCAAGACAGATACAAATTGGCTGGTGAGGCATCATGAGTGGGTCGTGTTGTGGGAGGATCGATATCGGCGCCTTCCACGTAGAGAGCCCATTTTTACTGACTTCTTGATGTATGCTGAGGATTATTATGAGTGGTTCAACAGTAACGGGAAACTGTTTCTACTTCCCGAGGATGCACGAGGGCAGACCTTTCCACGACGTCGACAGAGACGTTCACCGACACAGCACCATCGTTCCCCGACTCGTGGACGGAGAGCAGGTGCTTCCGGTTTATCCTCAGCTGCACCAGTAGGACCTTCCCAGCAGCCACCGCAGCCATATATGATGCCGTCATCGCCTTTCCATTACCAGATGTCGCCGCCGCCTTCACCTAGTTTTATGACCCCGCCACCGCCACCGTCACAGATGACCCCTCTTGGAGGCTATTATGGGTCTATGTTTATATATTCGACTTGGGGTTCATATGCTGGATATTTGGCGGGTTCATCCTCATCACCCATGGCCGTAGCACAAACACCTCCTGTACAGTTTTCACACTCAGCGATGTCTGGGTTTTCCCAGTTTTCGCATGCCGGTGAGATAGTCAGTCATACACCTCCAGGGTCCTTATTCTATGGAGGTGCTTCATCGTCATCAGCTCCTCATCAACCTGATGTACCTGCTCAGGACGACGACGACGACGATGACGATGGTGACGACGACGATGATGATGACAGCGAGGAGTCAGAACCAGTGATACGAAGAAATCCTCCTCGAGACCGACAGCCACCGCCATGCGGAACACATTCGCGACGTAGGCATCAATAGATTTTTTTATTATATTTGTATTTACTTTATTTTGTTTAATTGTAATTTTTTATTATTTCTCATTTAATACTTACTTTATTTTGTTAAATTTGTTGGACTTTTTTTAATATATTTTAGTTAATTTTGTTTAGTACCATTTAATATCAGTTATTGTAATTTGGTTATCATTTACCATTTAATTCTTATTGTAAGTTTGTTGTATTTAAATATCAAATTGTTATTAGTTTGATAAAATTTAATAATTGTGTATGTTTTTTTAATCTTCATCAGCTATTATCGAATGACATTAACTTGAATTAAATGCAAATTAAAATACAAGAATTATTATTTGATAAACAAATACATCATTTCCTCATCAATTGTTACTTGATGACAACAGAAGTGGACATGTTTTTCTAGTGTGTCCTGGGTTTCTACAATGGCCACATCTTATGTCTTGTCTAGATCTTTTTCGAATATCCATATCGCAATGAATTCGATTGGATTTTGGACGACCACGCTCCCTCAATAAACTCGGATTTGGTACAATCGAAAGCCAATCTTGAACCTCATCAGGGTCTTTGTCATTACCTATGGGGGGAAACTCAAATTCGTATACCTTAAAAACTTCAGATAGTAGGTATACGGGATCCACAAAATGGTTATAGTCTTGACGTGTATGCGAGCAAGATGCTATCACATGAGAGCATGGATACTTTAGAGCTTGAAAAAACCCGCAGTCGCACGCTCTGTCCCTTAGATTTACTCTTAACGACACAACTTCAATCCCTTGAAGAGGTCGGGGAAACTCTGTGACACGAAATATTTCATGCCTTCTAGAGAAGCTTGTTACAGACATTCCATTTGATGTATCAATTTTTTTCTGTAGATCTGCAACTAATCTAGGGTGATAGACATGACCGCCTTGCATCCAGGTTTGAGCTTATCCCCCGAGCTTCGTAAAAAGCGCCCCCAAACAAAAATATGTAGTTTTTACCAAAGCCGCTACATGTAAGCGACGTGCACCCTTTAAGGTTGAATTGATTGCCTCAGCCAAGTTGGTTGTCATGTGTCCATATCGATATCCACCATCATATGTGTTCATCTACATTTCTTTATCGATGAGGCTGATGTAATCGTATCCTTCCTCGTTCTTCGCCCGCAAATCTTGAAGCATTGATTCAAACGTTTGAGGAAGTAGTTCGTAACCTGATCAAAAAATGTATAACTTACTAACTTGCTTTCTTTGCAAAATTAAAATGATCAAAAAATGTATAACTTACTAACTTGCTTTCACTTACCCATGCGCACAATTAATTGACGCTCGTCATTCTTTTTATACCTTCCATGATAGTTCGCAGTAATGTCTCGGAGACAATATCTATGTTGGACAAAGGGTGGTTGCCACATTGGACCCAAAGACTCCATTGTTGCTTTGATCCCAGCTCCGCGATCTGAAATGACACAAATATTTTCCCTCGTGATAACATGTGCACGTACATTTCGGAGAAAAAAGCCCAAGAATATGTATCTTCTCCTTCGACAAGAGCAAAAGCAATTGGAAGAATGTTGCGATTGCCATCTTGGACAGCTGCCAATAATAAAACTTGCTTGTATTTTCCATACAAGAAAGTCCCGTCGATCTGGACCACAAGCTTGCAGTATTTGGCAGCATTAACGCACTGTGGGTAACTCCAAAAAACCCGGTAGAATTGGCATCGATCGCGAAGAACTCGATCATTATGGTATGCATAGGAGGTTTCAAAGTCCACAATTGTCCCAAGATTCAACGTCCACACCAGCCTAAACCAACCTGGAAATTCGTTGTAAGATGCATCTGATTCGCCATGAAGTTTGACAATGGCATTTTGTTTTGCCAACCAAGCTTTTTTATAGGAGACGGTGTACCCATACTGCGATTGTATAGCTGAAATCAACACTGCAACAGCTATATGTGTAACACCCCCAACCCGTACCCGACCCGAATATGAGTCAGAGATACTACATTGACTTTAAAACACAACTCTTAACAAATAATAGTAAAATATTTGAACTTATATTAAGAAAATACGATAATATACATATTGTAATATAAGTTTACTAAAATATTCAGAGCATACACAACTTAACCCTTTAATTACATGCCAACTGCCATTTACATAACAAAATGACCTACTGATTAAGTTGCTTCTGATCTGGT